AAAAATGACATAGCAAATTCAATTAACTGAGAGGCTATACTTAACTTTGAGGTATATTCTTTTTTAATTGACGACAAGCACCAGCAGACCTGCGAAAACACCGACTTTTGTACTTTAATACTGCAGACGCACAGAAAGCGCGGACATCATGTCATAAATGCGTTTTGGCCAATGGGATGGCTATAAACACCTTAAATTTCACATTTGCCGTTAGCTTTTTCTTAAAATTGTCATATCTGCTCGAAATCGGGTTTAGCAGTACCTTGAAAAAGGAAAAAACCAGGCTTGTTAGCAGATCTCTGCGAGACGGCTCGGCTTCGAGCACTGAGACAACTTTGTTCTCAAAATTTTGGCTTCAACATCGCTAGGTCTTGGACCACAATATCCAGAAAGACTCAAACTCGTAAAGGCACGCCTTGCCACATTAAGATTTTGAAAGATTATCTGTTGAAAGAAAAAAAAACTTGGAGTGCACTAATCTTTCGGCATACTTGCTTATTCCAATACATGAGGTATCAACTTTTACAAATGGCGAAGAGGCGAGAGCATACCTGGTTGGACCGGATTGACCACATGTGTTAGAGGCAGTGATTGGTTTGCCGAATGCAGCATTGATGAAATCCGGAATACAGCGCACCGGACGCCCAACGCTGTCATAACATGGATCATGATCCGGTTCACGCAGTGAAAATTGCGAAAAATATGCGGCGTAGGATGAGTACATCCGAAATAGCACTAGAACAGCTACAGAAACTAACATTGCGAAGGTGAAGTTCTCAGTATTGTTTGAGCCAGACCAATTCCAAATGTGTCGCAGTTCACCACGTCGATTCACTTAGCGCCTTTGTAAGTGCAGGCATGAAGTGCAAAAGTTACAAACGACATTTCTTCGAGAGTGTTTTTTAGCTCATGGATCCCGAGAATGATCGGCACTGTTGCAGAATATTTGTTAAGGGAGAAAGAAGAGGAGGAGGAGGAGCACTAGCTGGAGCAGCACCACTACCAGTACGAAGTGGTATCTCGAGTAACAGAAGGAGGAATCGGATTGGGGCGTGGCAATCCATGTTTCTCATCCTCACTTCATGGACTGATGTGGCGTTGGAGGGGCAAGGGTAACTGTTACCGGAATTCAGTTTCTTCATTATCAGGCCCCCTCCCACTTCCTCACCCGTTCTTCTCCTCTCGCCCTTTGCAACTCTCCATCTCCCCTGCTCCTC